AAATCCCAGCTGAGATTCCATCTTCTACGAAAAAATTCTTCTTTGCAAAAATTCCATCTTCCTGTGAAAAGCCTTTCCTGATTCCCTTTAATTTTAGTCCCTTAATTCTGTTGATTATCTCTAGTTTATCTTATATATAGGTTTTTACACATAGTTGTTTTCCTATTGCCTCCTTTATTAGATTGTGAGTTCCTCAAGAGCTGGGACTGTCATTTGCCTTTCTTTGTATCAGCAGTACTTAACACTGTGCCTGACACATTGTAGGTGCTCAAATAAATACTTATTGATTGACATGAATCAGTAAGTTTTGCTATTGCTGAAGAAAAGCACATAAAAACCAATGATAGGATTTAGGCTAAACAAATGGACGTGACCTTCATGTTCCTGCTAAATAATTGGATGTAAGCATCATGATGCAGGTACCAGTACTACTTGACACCAGAGTATAGAAACAGTTCTATGATCCATTATGCTGCTGCTGTTCAGTTATTCAGCCATGTCTGACTCTCCATGCCCCCATGGACAATAGAAGTTTGTTCAAGTTCATTTTCATTATTTCCATGGCACTGTTTATCCATCTCATGCTCTGCCATCCCCTTTTCCTTTTGCCTTCAATCTTTCCCAACATCAAGGTCTTTTTCAATGAGTCCTGTCTTCTCATTATGTGGCCAAAGTATTTAAGCTTCACCTTCAGTATTTGACCTTCCAGTAAATTGTTGTTGTTGAGCTGTTTCAGTCACATCCAACACTCTGTGACCTCATGTGAGGTTCTCTTGGCAATGATACTGGAGTGGTTTGCCATTTCCTTCTCCAGGTCATTTGACGCTGAATTAACTTCTTTAATTATTGACTGATTCAAAGTCCTTGCTGTTCAAGGAACTAAAAAGTCTTCTACAGTACCACAATTTGAAAGTGTCGATTCTGTAGTTCTCAGCTTTCCTTATAGTCCAACTATCATGGCCATACATTGCTACTGAAAAAACAAAAAACAAAAAACAAAACAAAACAAAAAAACAACATAGCTTTGACTATACAGACCTTTGTTGGCAAGGTGATGTCTCTGCTTTTTAGTATGCTGTCCAGATTTGCCATAATTTCTTTCCAAGAAGCAAGCATCTTTTAATTTCGTGGTTGTCCTTACTGTATGCAGTGATCTTTGAGACCAATAATATGAAATCTGAAACTACTTCCACTTCTTTTCTCTCTGTTTTCCAGAAAATGATGAGACCAGTTGCCAAGATCTTTTGTGTTAAGTTTCAAGCCAACTTTTAGTCTTTTTTTTCCCACCTTCATCAAGAAGCTTCTTAATTCTTCACTTTCTGCCATCAGAGTGATATTATCCACATATCTGAGATTGTTGCTATTTCTCCTGGCAACCTTAATCTGGCATGATCCACCATATAAAAGAAAAATTCACTAAAAACTTTTCATCCAGGCACAGGTATTAATCTCTCTCTTTGACTTATGTACATAATAGCTATCCTGAGATAATATTCATGCTTTAAATTATACTATACAGACCATCATGATAAAAAGAATTTCTTTATCACGATGGCATATTAGAAAGAATACTTAGTTTTGAGTCATAAAGCCTAGGTTTGAGCCTGTGGATACAAAGAGAGAGGGGAACCTGTATCTTCCTTCTCTTGGCATGAGTAACTTCATTATAGAAATGTGATTGTATTTCACTCAACCTTGGAAGTCATGCTTCCTCTTTGTCTTTGTCATTCTTGCTATTAGGCAGATCAAATAAACAATTGCTAAAGTTCTGTGTTGTGGTTAGAATTTGGATAAGCTTCCCTTTGGCAAGAAAATATTCTCAGAAAATTTAAATGTCTCTTAAGTTCCCCTTTGGTCTTCTCTTCTCCATGATAGTTTATTTAGTGTATCCTCATAATATTAACAGGTAATTTTAAAAATTGATATATTTTTATATCACCTTAATTTTCAAATATATCCCTTTCTTCTCCAAAGAGTCATCCCTTAAAACAAATAATAACAAAGAGGGAAGAGAGAGACTAAGATAAATGAAACAAAATATCAAAGGAGTCTGACAAAATATATAATATTCTACACCCAAAGCCATACCATCTCTGGAAAAAAAAAATGGATGAGGGTATATTTTATCAACTCTTGTCTGTGATCAGACTTGATCAACATAATTAGACTGTGTTTATTTTTTGTTATTTCGTTCCTTCTGTTTAAGACTAGCATGCAATTTTTATGAAAAGCAAGGGAAAGTAATTTCCTCACAGAGCCTTATAAGGTTGCCCAGGCAGGAGATACTCTAAGGGTACAATGCTCTTTCATTTGAAGGTCATTGTATCCTGAAATAATAGCAATGTCCACAAGAGGGCAGCAGCATCAAGAGATAGGCAGCCTTTCCCCCAGTTTCTTCCTTATCCTTATTTTTTCAGATATATATAGAATTTAACTCTCTCTCACTCTCTCCCTCCCTCCCTCCCTCCCCCCTCCCCCCTCCCCCTCCTTATCCATATCCAGGATTACTTCAATTCCAGGGCAACTAGAGAGCAGAATGCTCCCTCTTAAATATATCCCCACAGCAGGAAATGAGAGCCTCAGCTTTCCTGGGAGGTGGTCATTGCTTTCCCCCAGTGCTTTCAGAGCTTATCCCCTTGGGATTGGATAGGGAATGTAGGCAAGGCTCCATAGTTTATAAACCTGTCTCTCCTTGGTGATAAGGTGAGGTTTTTCTCTTTATCCCTTGGACCTTACCAGGTGCTTGGTTTCTGAGTATCCCTGGTTTGCTTCCTCCCCCAGGAACCTCAGCACATCTTTAAAGGCTGCCTAGGTATTTTTTCAGAAGCAGCTCCTGTTCTCTGTGGCCAGTGGTGAGTTTACCAGTCACTGAAGAAGAAGAAAGAATGAGACCTTGTCAAAGGGACTTTAAGTAAAACAAGCTAACAGTGGGGAAGGAAGATTAGAAACTGTTCTCAGTTGGGTTTAAGAACTAGTTCTTGAGAGAGAACAAAGGAAGAAGGTTGGATTGTGTCACATACTAAATATTATCCTTAGCAGCTGAGAGGTCTGTCATTGATAGCTCTTCTGGGACATTGCAGGTCAGGTACTGGGTACTGGAGGGTTGTCTTCCCTAATACTACCATCACAGACAAGAGTGGGCTCCAAACATCCTAAGAGTCCCTTGGTAAATTGTCAGGGAGCCATTTGCCATCCCATGACAGGGCAATTTTGCTAAGCTATTTTTTAAACTTATACTAAAATTCTCCCTCCCCACGTTTAAGGTAAAAAAAAAAAAAAAGATTTCCTGGCATCATACATTGGAAACTACCTTGGAGGTCCTTAAATCCAACCCTGTCATTTTATGGATTAGGAGGCTGTAATTGAGAGAGGCTAAGCAATTTGTCCACAGATAACAAGTTAGTAAGGCCAGATTAGAGCTCAGTTCTTCTTGACTCCAAATCCAGCATTTTATTGACTTTGCCACCTATCTGTCTCCCCATAAGCATTTCCAAACTTGAAGGCAGTTGAAGAAATAAGGCAGTGGGCAGCTCTCCAAAAATTAAGATATATTTGGGGTTTCAATAGGGTAAGACTTTCTGAAGGAGGAAACTGGAATCCTTCCTCATTCTACTCAGTTTTAAGCTCCTTCCTCTAAAGTACGTATTCCCTATGCCAATTTGGATATATGATCAGTATATGCTAGGGTGTCTCCTGGGCCATCCTTTTGTGTTTGCCAGGCTGTGGGCCTTAGGTCCATCTTGACTTCCACAGGATGGGAATTAATTCCAGGGCTTCCAACTTTCTCACCTAATAAGTGAAATGGGTTAGTCTAGCTCCAGAGAGAGAAGGCAAGAATTAACAACAGAGAACCTGGGAAGGTAGAGGAAGAGAAACAGAACATATTCTACGTTGCTTGCTATGAAATGTTTATAATTGGATTATAGTAAAGCTTACAATAATTAACTATTAAGAAATTGCTAAATGGCCAAGGACATGGTAGAATTCATTAGCTGTGGGTTAATTTGTCTGAGGTAGACCAGGTCATTTGTTTTATCCATATCGTGTCTTAGTTATTGCTTGGTTGGAGAGCACAAATGATCCTGAGATCTTGACCACAGATTGACCCTTAACAAAAAAGCTCAGATTGAACCCCTTATTTCAAATCCAAACCCTAATCCAAATTGGAAATTGATCCCTACAGCTTAGCCATAGATTTAGAGTAAACCACAAATTCAGATTCTTATCCTAGCCATGGACTGAGCTCTTGATAGAGACAATGTAGTGTTCGAAAAGAGCACTGGATTTGGCATCACAGAACTTGATTCAAATTGTCATTTATAATCTATGTGATCATAGTCAAGTCACTTAACTCCTACGAGTCCTAGTTTTCTCATTTATAAAACAAGGGAATTGGGCTAGATGGCTTCTAAAGTCCCTTCCAGTGGTAAATCAATGATAATACGATCCTGGCCATGAACTGACCTCTAACCCTCACAAAGGAATGAGGACTGAATCTTTGACCCTAGCATAGAATGATTCCCCAACTCCAGCCACAAAATAGTATATCCTGATTAGTTGCCTCACATATATAATTAGTCACCAGTAGTAAGATTTTAGATAATTTAGTGCAAATCAAACCCCACTTACCAGTGATGTCTTTGTTTATATACATTAGAGTTTCTGAATTCTTCGTTAAAATGGATCGTATGTTACTTTGCAAATGGCTGAGATACTTATTAAAGATGCTGACAAACTCTATCCCTGTCAAATATGTAGGGACAAGCTATTCTTGCAACTATTTATCAGATGAATTAGAGTAGGCAGAGTCTGCAGAGCTGTGAAAAGATTAAGAGACCTTCCAAACCAAATGTCTTTCACTTGCAGGTTTCATCTTCTGGTCTAATTTTTTTTTCCTGTCCTCTGATTCCTTTCCAAGTCTTCACCTGACTATTACCCATACCTCACAACCTGCTCTCAGATATCTATTCTGAATTATCCTTTCTTTTCAGTATTTCATTATGGTGATAGGAAATGATACACTGATCCACCCAGCAGCCTTCCTTCTAATGGGTATCCCGGGACTGGGATCCAACATTCACTTCTGGATGGCCTTCCCACTCTGCTTTATGTATGCCTTGGCCACTTTGGGCAACCTCACCATTATCCTCATCATCCGTGCTGATCAGACCCTTCATGAGCCCATGTATCTCTTTCTGGCTATGCTTTCCACCATTGATATGGTCCTCTCTTCTGTTACCATGCCCAAGATGGCCAACCTCTTCCTCACAGGAAGACAAGAGATAGAGTTCAACCTTTGTCTGACTCAGATGTTCCTTATCCATGCACTTTCAGCCATGGAATCAGCCGTACTTTTGGCCATGGCCTTTGATCGCTTTGTGGCTATCTGCCACCCTCTGCGCCATGCATCAGTGCTCACAGCACCTGTTGTAGGGAAAATTGGACTGGCAGCTCTTACCCGTGGCTTTGTCTTCTTTTTCCCCTTACCCTTCATCCTGAAAAGGCTGTCCTATTGCCACAGTAATACTGTCACCCATTCCTTCTGCCTCCACCAGGACATTATGAAGTTGTCATGCACAGATACTACAGTCAATGTCGTCTATGGGCTCTTCATCATCCTCTCTGTCATGGGAGTTGATTCACTTTTCATTGGCTTTTCCTACATTCTAATCCTACAGGCTGTGCTGGGGCTATCTTCCCGGGGAGCTGCCTTTAAGGCCTTCAACACCTGCATCTCTCATCTCTGTGCAGTCCTGGTGTTCTATGTGCCCCTCATTGGCCTGTCGGTGGTGCATCAACTGGGTGGCCCCACTTCAATGGTCCATGTGGTCATGGCCAATGTTTACCTCCTACTTCCCCCTATTGTCAACCCCATTGTCTATGGGGCCAAAACAAAGCAGATCAGGGTTAGGATTCTCCATATGTTCCAACATGATGCTGGATAAGTAAGGAGACTAAATGTTATCATCTTGGGGAAGAGAACAGTTCTCCACTACATATCACAAGGACATGAGAGATTTGAAGGACCTAGTAATATATCTTAGAGATGGGACCACGCAGGCTGTTAACCATTTCTGTTATTACTATTATTTTTTTTAAAAACATATCCTGGATTGATGAGGAGGTAACTGGTGGCTTTATTCACTTGGATGGCGAATTCTCTATCTTATTCATAGTCTGAATGTGGAATTCTCAGGGTTTATCCTGGGATCTCGCCTATATTATGCCTTCCTTTTGCCTACAAAGCACAAAATACTTACTATTGAACTAATTAAGATGTGTTTCACTCATATTTTGTTTTTATCATAAAATGAAATATTATATGTGGTATGCTTTACAAACTTGCATAAATAAATATAAAATGGCTATATAAATACTAGCTATTGTAACTGCAATATAAAAATAATTACTATTGCATTGTTCTAATTATGTGTTCTCTATTTGTGTGTACATGCCACTAAGTCTGTTTGCTTTTGCAAAGACAATATTTGTGTGCCTTTCTTTGTAGAGCTCCATAAACAGTAAAATGTTGAATGAAGCCTTTGCATAGCATTGATGGTGATAATTACCAAAGATGGAGAAGAAGAGCAGTGGAAAGCCAGTATGTCTTTTACACATGGGTTTGGGATTATAAAGAAATCATGAGAGTGAAATGGGACTGTCCTTCTACAATTCTGAAATTAATTAATGAGTAGGGGACTTACTGGGGAAGTGAGGGGGTCTCATACTGCTTCATATTAGTGACAATTGAAGGATTTAAGAATGTTCCACCTAAAAAAGAAAATGTTGTGCCTCCCATGACCCTACTCAATAAACTCCAGTGGCTGCTACCACATCCAGAATCAAATATAAAATTCTCTGGTGTTTGGTGTTCATTTATAACCATCTCCTTGAATGTTCCCAGTATTCTTATACCTTACCCTCCATCATACCCTTTGATCTAGTGATGATGGCCTCCCTGCTTTTTTTCCAACATGGCACTCCATCTACTGACTCTGGATTTTTTTTTCTGACTATCTCCCATGCCTGGATTGGTTTCCTTCCTCATCTCTGCCTACTGGCTTCCTTCAAGTCCCAAATAAAATATTACCTTCTATAGGAAGGCTTTCCCAATCCTTCTTAATTCTAGTGACATCTCTTCTGAAATTATCTTTGATTTTTCTTGTAAATAGCTTGTTTGTATATAGTTGTTTCTATGTTGTCTTCTCCATTAAACTGTGAGCTTCTCAGGAAAGCAGGGACTATTTTTGGTCTTTGTATGTCTCCGCAGAGCTTAATAGAATACCTGGCACATAGTAGCTACTTACTTTATAAATGCTAATTGACTTGACTGACTATTCTAATAGCTTGTCAAATAGAAGAGGGAGATTTGTTCTATGTTCTTGAAGAAGGTTCAAAGGCATAGAGAAGTATATTTTAGTTAATATTGAGGGACTTTGTACTAATAAGTTGTTCAAAAATATACCAGCCTGTCTTGTGAGGTGTTAAGCTGCCCATCACTATGTGACCATAGATTTAGAGCTGGAAAGGACCTTAGAGGTCCTGTAGTCTAATCCCTTTATTTTGCATTTGAGGAAACTAAGGTTTAGGAAGGTTAATTGGCTTGACCAAAATCACCCATGTAGTAAGCAGCAGAATCAGGATTCAAACACTGGACATTTGATTCTAGATTCAATGTATTTTCTATTGTTCTATGCTGTTTTTAGTAGAAGCATTCAAAAAGAACACTGGATGGTCACTTGTCTTGCAAGGAAAAGTAGGCATTCTAGATGGAAGTGGAGGGTTTCACTCAATGACCTTTAAAGTGCCAAATCTAAGATCTTTTGGCTTTTACAGCTTCAGGTCCTTTGTTCTAGCCTCCTTTCCCAGGCAGAACTACATAGATCTCAAGCCAGAAAGATGATAGTGATAAAAGGCAATGAGGTGTGAGAAGGAGTTGGGAGTGGAGTGGGGAGCCTCGCTTGCCTGTGGGAGGGTGGGTTGATAGAGCAAGCCCCAGAGTCTAGGGGCTATATATTGTTTTTCAAGATTCTTAATATAGGAGATTTTTTTACAGCGTACACAGTTATTTGCTATAGTAGTTCAAGATCTTGCCAGCCAGTTCTTCCTGATAATACCTGATAAGTTATGAGGCAGCTAGGTGACTCAGTGGATAGAATACTGGGCCTGGAGTTAGGAAAGCCTGACTTGAAATCTAGTCTCAAACATTCATCAATCTGTGTAATTCTAGGCAAGTCACTCAGTCCTTCTGTGGCTCTATTTCTTCATCTATAAAATGAAGATAATAATAGTACCTACTCCCCACTGTTGTTGAGAGGATAAAATGAGATAATATCTATATACACTTTGCAAATTTAAGGTGCTATAACAATGCTAGCTATTATTATGATGAGAATATTTAATATTCATGTTTCAGATTGTATTTATTTCTTCTCTAATTAACCTCAGGAAAAGAATAAAAAAGGGAGGGATCGGTTTTCCTGTAGTCCTTTAATTAAGTCTTTCATTCCTACAGTCTCTTTGTGGCTGCTGAAAATCACATGACTAGTAAGAGTGTGGAGAAAAAAAAATGATTTATGTTTTTGTTTTAGCCAGATCTGCCAAAAACACATTTTAACTGCCTGAAGGGAGAGTCTGACCAGCCTAGAGAAAGAAGACCTTTCCTACTAAGTCTGAAAATGCCTCCTTCCCAAGACCTTTACAACTCCCATTTTATAGTAAAAATGAAACAAAAGATAAAGAAATTCCACAACAGTAATAGTCAGTCAACAACCATTTGTCCATGCTTACACAACACTTTAGGCTCTGTGCTAAGTGCTGGGAATACAAAAACAAGCAGAGAGACACAGTTCTGACCTTTAAGATGCTTATATTTTAATGAAGGAAGACAACACAGAAAAGGAAGCTAAAAAGGGGTTGGGAAATGAAGGGACTCTGCACAGGGACATTATGGAGGAATCCTGATTGCAGCCTGGTGAGAAATGAAGACCTGAGAAATGGGCACCCTACAAAAACAGAAGCTCAGGGAGGAGCCATCCAGGGGACTTAGAATGCTTCCAAGGTATCAATACCATCCCCAAAATGATCTTCAGGATAAAATGTTCTGGGGCATAACTGGATTCTAATTTGGTAAGAAATGAAACAAAAATAGACAGTTTCAGTTAGGTGTTTTAGGCTTATTTAAAATAGGTACCCAGGCTTGGAGATTTGCCTTCCCACCTAACTACTCTCTCTGTCCAATGACTACCTGAGGCTAATGATAAACAAAATGAATTCTTCTATTAATTGGGTTAGCCAAAAATGATATTCCTTCTCTTCATTTGGTCAGCTGTAAATAAGCCACCCACTCTAGTTTGGGCCATGTAAACCCACTCTATTGCCTGATTCTCTCTATCTTCTATGGGGACATAAGTGAACTCCCCATTTGAGTTAGTTCTATTCAAAGGAGTTTTTTTTAGGGATTAATTCAAGGTAAACTGTGGACTTTAGGTCTGCTACACTGTCACAACATTAATTCCTAATTTTTATGACATAAGTGAGGTCTTGGTACTCTTGCATTTGCAATACTATTACTACTATTATTCCTGCCGGAATGCTGCTGCTATTCCTACAACTATGAAATCAAGTCAAATCAATAAGTTTTTAAGCACCTATTATATTTCAGACATTGTGCTAAGTTACTACTGCTATTTCTCCTCCCACATCGGAGGTAATGAGGACCATGATTTTTTTTTTAAAGTTTCGAAAATAACATTCAATTTATTCTGTTTTTAAAAAAGCAAGAAGTATAGAATGTAGATCAGTGTTTTCATATGCAATCCTCTTTTGTGTTCTGCTGTGTACATATTAATGCTCAGTGGGGGGGGGGAGGGCCAGGCTCAAAATAAAATAAAATGGTCATTTTCTTTGAGTCTTTGATTGTGTACAATGTGTAATCATTCTCTTCTTCTGGGTTTGTTTGTTGGGCATCCCTGGCTCTTCAATATTTTTTTGACATTGACTGCTTTTTCTGCTTCCTTATTTTTTCTATCCTACTTGTTGTTGTCTGTCTTCAAGTCTTTTTTTAATGTATTATTAATGCAAGGTTATCTAGCCTCATTAAGATATGCAGAGAAGAGATTCCACAATCTCTGGTCTACATTTTTCTGATAATATCTCTACAGCATTTTAAACCCCATCAAGAAGATACTTGATGTATTTAAATCTTATAATTTCAAATGTGAGGATACCAATGAGTGAATAGGTCTCTCAACTTTTTTGCCAGAGGCTCAGAGCTTTCTCTCATAGGTGATGCTTAACAGGTGATGCTTAAAGGGTTAAAAACAATTTGAGTGAATATTTTATTTTCATCAGCACGATCTTACTTCCACAGATTACCACACAGTGTTCAGCCAGTATGGAACTAAGTGGGGATATGGATGGTGTCAAAGAATCAACCTGGCCAACAGGCTCCATGTAACACTGACATTGCGATGATATGCATTCCCCAAGAACAATGAAGCTATAGTCATAACTAAATTATACGGAGACCATCATTTAGTTGATGAGCTCTTATGTACTCTTTTGTAAATTCATCCAACCTTCAAATGATTCCCTACATAGGACACTATTTGGATGCTTCATGTTTGCCAACACTTCAACTTCTCTCCTTGATTCTTCTCTTTCTTTACTGGACATCTTTGAGGTGTTAATTTCCTTATTAAAATATTGTTTATAATCTTCACTAGATTTAACAAGAATGGTTTTTCCAAAGGATCCTTCTCCAATCTTTGGGAGTTTACAGTATTTATTCATGGTTCTTTCCTTAATGCTTCCTTATACATGTGTAGGTGTGTGATCCTGGGCAAGTCACTTCACCCTGTTTGCCTCAATTTCTTCTTCTGTAAAATGAGCAGCTTTCTGGCGGCTGCAGCATCCATCCTCCATCTCTCTCTGAGTTAAGGCT